TAACATACCCTCATAACACACTCCTTCACCTTACATATACTTACACATCTTACAACACCCTCACGCACCTAATCATACACTCATCCAGTTTATAACACACTTATTTATCTTGTAATACATTCATTCAACTGGCAACACACTCACCAACTTCTTAAATTTCGCAAGACACTTCACCGACACATAACACACTTCACCGACACATAACACACTTCACCGACACATAACACACTTCACCGACACATACCAAACTTCACCGACACATACCAAACTTCACCGACACATAACACACTTCACCGACATATAACACACTTCACCGACGCATACCAACTTCACCGACACATAACACACTTCACCGACACATAACACACTTCACCGACACATAACACACTTCACCGACACATAACACACTTCACCGACACATACCAAACTTCACCGACACATAACACACTTCACCGACACATACCAAACTTCACCGACACATAACACACTTCACCGACATATAACACACTTCAGCACCAACACATAACATACTTCACACTTCACCAACATACTTCAGCAACACAGCGTAAGAACAAGAGATCATTATAAGAGGTAAATCACCTGTATCCATCACACCTGGCGGCTGTTAATAACGATACTCCCTTAACAAGCGGAATACAGGGGCGGTAGTTTCCATAGGTCGTTAACCGCCCAGCCAATGGTCAGGTCGTAATTAGCTGACGGGAGTGTTATTGAACCTGCATTAATTACCAGCTCTACACTCTAATTTGGTAGACTGTAGTAATGAGCCACCCCCCCCCCTCCCTTCCCAACATTACCTGTCCGTACCTTAGGCTTACAGCACCTTAAGAACACGAACACGGTAACGAAAGCTTAACGCGTACAGGGTGATGAAAGCTTAACGCGTACACGGTGACGAAACTTAACGCGTACACGGTGATGAAAGCTTAACGCGTACACGGTGACGAAAGCTTAACGTGTACACGGTGATGAAAGCTTAACGCGTACACGGTGACAAAAGCTTAACGCGTACACGGCGACGAAACCTTAATACGCACACGGTGACGAAACATGGACACGTACACGGTGACACAGCAAGGATAAATACACTATTATCGTGGCTTCAAAACATACACGGTAACCAGGAAGTGTACATTGAAATACGGGCTACAAACATATAGAGTGACATGGTCTGGGCACGTACACGGAGACACGGAACACGTTTGAGAGAGAGAGAGAGAGTCCTGTAATGAATGAGAGACGAGAGCACGAGCGTGAGTGAGTGAGTGAGTAGGGGAAGAAGAGAGAGAAGGCCCAGGTCAATACGGACCAAACATGGCCATCTTCCAGGGAGCACCACCTGCCACAACCCAACTGTGGCCACCAACAGCCACAACCCAACTGTGGCCACCACCAGCCACAACCCAACTGGCCACCACCTCACCACAACTGTGGCCACCACCTGCCACAACCCAGTGTACCACCTGCCCAACCCAACTGTGGACCACCAGCAACTCCACAATACAACTGCAACCACCACCCAACTGTAGCCACCACAACTCACAACCCAACTGTAGCCACCACCTGCCACAACCCAGCTGTGGCCCCACCACCTGCCACAACCCAAGTGCTTGTACCACCTCTACAACCCAACTGTAGTACCACCAACACAACCCAACTGTGCCACAACCCAAACTGTGGCCACCACCAGCCCCAACTCCAACTGTGGCCACCACCTCCACAACCCAACTGTGGCCACCAGCCTTACAACCCAACTGTGGCCACCACCACTGTGTACCACCAACCACAACCCAACTGTAGCCAACCACCACCACCAACCCACCACTGTGGCCACCACCTGCCACAACCCAACTGTGGCCACCACCTACAACCCAACTGTGGCCACCACTAGCCTAACCCAATAGCCACCACCAGCCACAAGCCAACTGTGGCCACCAGCCACTGAAGCAACTGTGGCCCACCTCCTGCCACAACCCAACTGTGGCCACCACCTGCCACAACCCAGCTGTGGCCACACCTGCCACAACACACCTGTGGTCCTGTCTGCCACAACACACCTGTGGTCCCCGTCTGCCGCAACACACCTGTGATCCCCGTCTGCCACAACACACATGTATTATCACCTGCTACAACACACCTGTAGTCCCTACGTCTGCTACAACACACCTGTGGTCCCCGTCTGCCACAACACACCTGTGGTGCCACAACATACCTGTAGTCCCCGTCTAACCACAACACACTTGTAGCCATCCTGCCACAACACACCTGTGGTCCTCCTTGCCACAACACACCTGTAGTCCCCGTCTGCCCAGAACACACCTGTGGTCTCCGTCTGCCCAATACACTTGTGGCCATCACTTACCACAACACACCTGTAGTCTGTCTCCGTCTGCCACACAAACCTGTGGTCCCCCGTCTGCCTGCACACCTGTGGTTCCCGTCTGCCACAACATACCTGCGCTCCCCCCTGCCTGCCACAACACACCTGTGGTCATGCCTTGGGAGAACACACCTGTGGTCTCGTCTGCCACAATACGCCTTGGCCATCACTTCTTACACACCTGTGGTCCCCGCCTGCCACAACAGCACCTGTGGTCCTCGTCTGCCACAACACCTGTGTCCTCGTCTCCTGTGCTCCCCCGTCTGCCAGAACAACCTGTGGTCTCCGTCTGCCACACCTGTGGTTCCTCGTCTGCCACAACACACATCTGTGCCTCCCGTCTGCCACAACACACCTGTGGTCCCAGTCTGCCACAACATACATGGTCCCTGTATGCCACAACACATCCTGTGCTCCGTCTGCCACAACACACCTGTCGTCCCCGTCTGCCATCATACCTGTTGTCACAGTCTGCCACAACCACCTGTAGTCTGCCACATCATACCCTGATCTGCCACACACCTGTGGTCCCCGTCTGCCACAACACACCTGTGGTTCCGTCTGCCATAACACACCTGTGGTCCCCGTCTGCCACATCATACCTGTTGTCACAGTCTGCCTACAACACACCTGTGGTTCCGTCTGCCATAACGCAACACACACCTGTGGTCCCCGTCTGCCACATCATGTCCTGTTGTCACAGTCTGCCACAACACACCTGTGGTCCCGTCTGCCACAACACACCTGTGAGTCCCCGTCTGCCTAACACACCTGTGGTCCCGTCTGCCATATACTTACCTGTGGTCCCCCGTCTGCCACACACACCTGTGGTTCCCCATCTGCCATAACACACCCCCGTCTGCCACAACACACCTGTGGTCCCAGTCTGCCACAACATACATGTGGTCCCTGTATGCCACAACACATCTGTGCTCCGTCTGCCACAACACACCTGTCGTCCCCGTCTGCCACATCATACCTGTTGTCACAGTCTGCCACAACACCTGTGGTCCCCGTCTGCCACAACACACCTGTGGTTCCCGTCTGCCACAACACACCTGTGGTTCCCGTCTGCCATAACACACCTGTGGTCACCGCCTGGCTACAACCCGCCTTTACTATACGACGTAAACACTCACCTTTAATGACTTTTTGCTGGAGTTTCAACTTGGGTAGTGCAGGAGACGCAAAAGTACAAGTTTTTATGTTACCACTCTAATATTACACAAATTACTCTCTTTGTATACACAAAAGTTTCCTTTATTATACTCATTAATGACTACACACCTTTCACTTAATACATAACAAGGCAGTCATCGCAATGGCCTTCGTTAGATCAGGTTCCAGTTCCTGGTTGCCACCTGTGCCTCAAAATACACCTTCGGGCCTAATTACGTCTGCTAATTGCTCGTTGAAAACTCAGTCACTGCTTTGTTTACTTAATCGTCCACAACGTCGTAGCCTCCATCCCGGCCGCCCGCGCAGGGGCAAGGGGAGGGGTGTTAGAAGGCTTCACTGCCATGCTAAACGTACAGTGTCGTCGACCTTTTCGCGGATATTGCTACTGCACATAGCAATAACACAACGCTGCTTAAATGAAAAACAGATAATTGTAATGGCAATCTTACTGTGCACTTCATCTACTGCTCCTAATTATTGTAATACAAAGAGAGACTGACGTCCCCATGAAAGCCATTTATTGATTCGCCACAAACACGAAGTGATTGGAAAGGTAGTTAGAGGTGGGATCCCTAGCGGTGTAGCCAGTAGGAGGACCTCATAAGAGCACATAAAACCCACAAATGGAAAACGGAATATATTAGAAAGTCATCCAAGGTTTCGATCCAATAGCCATCGTTATGAAGTACCTCATCAGTACTCAGACGAGAAGCTAAAACTACTCACAGATGCAAGCTTGCTTTACCAGCCACGTTCATTATGCTCCAACGACACTAGAATTAACGGATAATAAAAGCAATTCAATTGGCGATGATTATAATGATTAAGTTAAGTGCAATTACCTTAATTATCAATGTAGGTAAAACTTACAAAGCGTCTGCAAGGTGTTCTTGCCTCAATGGTCGCTAGTTACTGAACCCGCAGCCATCACGCTTCCTCTTAAAGGGGAATAATTACTCTTTTACACGAATTATACCGTATAATTTTTGATGTAGTTACCACTAATGAATGGGTATTTTTAATGTAGATTATCTTTTTCTTTTGAAACAAGAGATCAGGTAAGAAAACAGCCAGAGATTAGCGGATAGATAAGAGGAAAGGAATAATTAGACGTGAGTTAAAGATGGTTGAATACTTGTAGACAAGTAACACGGGATGATCTGACAGACAAATGGCAAATTATGGCTGAATAAACAAATAATGAAAGGTGATAAGACAGACAGACAGACAGACAGGTCACAAGACAGTGTTATGCAGACACACCACATAAGATAAGCTACACCATTCACACACCATCTTCACCATGGCTGTGGAGTGTCAGCTTATGGAGTGACCGGCGCTTACGAGCAATAAAAGACGTTATTGTAGAGTGTGGTCCTTTGCCCCGTCCCTCCAGCCGTCCTGGACCTACCCCTCAAGTATGACAGACAGGCTGGCGTCGCCTTGGGCCCGGCTAGGATTGTTACATATCTCGGGTCTGGATGCTGGTGACAAGGATCCATGTCGGGTTCCATCTTATCTCCCAGGATTTCCAGCCGGCGACCAATCACGTGAGGAGATCCCGGACTGGAAGTTGCTTTTGCCACACGGGGCTCCTGGAATTTCCGCGAACGTTGTTTCTTCATTTCCCCTCTCTTAAAGACGGCCTGGGGGGAACCTAAAGAGTACATTTGATTCTCACCATTTTCTCCCAATTTTCGGTCAGAGTTTCCATACTAAGGAGTTTGTTGCATGAGAAAAAATAACCACCATATTTGTAGATTCCAGGCAAAATTCCAAGGCAGAGGGCGGACCAATCCGAGAGCGCTGTGTGTTCCAGAGCATCCGGGAGGCGAGGCGTCTCCAATTGTCTTGGGGATCAGCTCAACCTGGGAACCTGGCTGAAGGGGCCACTCTTTACTTTATATTTCTGTCTATAACCTTCATCATAAACTACAACTTCAGACCCTGGCGATAATCGGTTTATATGTATAAACTAAATTGACAATCTAAATCCGTCGTCGTATAAAATCTTAATAAATCGCTGAAGATAAAACTTATTCGTTCTATTTCCTCAACAATCTCAGCATGGTTCTTCCCTTTCTCCTCCCCCTCTAGCTATTGCTCTCTCTCCCTCTTCCATTCCACACTGCTCATTCATGATACTCATTTTTTGTTGCTCTTGCTTGTTGCTTTTCATTGAATTCTCCCATTTCCTAGTGTTACTTCTCCTTTACTGCAGTACTGTACTATCTCTCAATTTTCACTACCATTATCACCACTACTATACACATCATCACCACAGTAAAAACTCTCACCACTTTAACTATTAATTAACCTCTTTCATCACCACCACCAACTCAAGGTAACTACATTCTACTACTACTACTATTACTATTAACACCACCTCCTCCTTCACCACAGTCTCATCAAAACTACTACCATCGCTACCACTATTACCACGTCCACCACCATTACGATCACTACCACCGCTAATATAATCACCACCACCACCATTACCACCACCTTCAGTACCACCACTATCACTTATATTATCACCATTCCTTCAACTTCAACGTCGTCATCACAACCCTCGCCACCACCACCCACCACCACCACCTCCTCCTCCTCTTGTATATTGACGGTCTGGAGGAAAGCGTGGCGGCGGTCGAGTCGCTATAGCAACACTGGACAACACCGCCCACCTCCTGAACCCTTACAGACGGTAACTGTGGACCAAGGACCCGTCAGGCTACCTGTCAACGAGGCTGGTCTAGTACAATGAAGGAAAAAAAATATATATAAAACCTGCCGCCATTTACTTTAATATTTCTTTTGTTGAAAATCTTGTTTGATGTAAAAGCTAAGGCCCAGCGGGAGGTGAACGAGGCCAAAGAGCGACGGTTGGGACGCGTCCTTGTGATCAATATTGACTATGTTCTATTCGCAGGTGAGTTTCAGGTCAGCCCAGCAATGGACGACAGGGAACGAAGCTTTTTTTTCTACTCTAAAGACTATCAATTTCATGGTAGGGGTGCGAAGGGAGGCGAGGTGTGAGGACGAACCAAGATACCAGGAATATAAACAATGACCTTATCCTTCTTCGAACTCGGTTGATTCAACGTCTTCTCTGTGCCAAGTTTTCTTAAGAATAGGCACGTGAAGGTAAGAGATGTGCTCATGCAATACTCTTCCACAGCACAAGGATGTATATACTACACTAAACAGGCGACGAAGATAGGCCTCGAGGGACGCCCACCCCCAGACAGAAGCAAGAAACAATCGCCGCAGAAGCAAACACAAGAAGCAGCAGAAGCCACGGTAGAAAGCAATTACCAGTTCAATCGGTGGGCATTAGCGGGCGGCGGTGATAGTGCTGAGTAGGGCGGTGGCGGTAACCCTGCGCCCTGGTTGACCCTGCTGCTGACCCCGCGCCCTCCTGCTGACCCCGTGCACTCCTGCTGGCCCCAAGTCCTCCTGCTGGCCTCACGACCTGCTCTTGACTCTCCAACTCTTCTGTTGATCCTACCACCTCCTGCTCGGGTCGTTGCTGATTATTCTATACCTTATCTTATGATATATCTTAGTTCCTCAGCGAGCCCCTCTCTCTTCTCCTACCCCGCCAGTTCTCTCTCAACCTGACCACCTGCCACCCTCCCATTGACTCCCTTAATCCCTCCTGTTGACCTATCTAGCTACTCCTACTGACCTACTTAGCCCCTCCAACTGAAGCCCCTGCTGCTGATTCCCCTAGCCACCCCCACAGATCTATTAACCCCTCCTGCTGAACCACCTCCCCCCTCCTGCTGAAGCATAATCTCCCTCTCCGTGCATGACCTTGTTCCTGTCGCTAATATTGTTTTTGTCTCTTCGTTTCTCCAGTTTTTCATCATCACGTTTGTGTTATTCACTGTGTATGTGTGTGTGTGTATGTGTGTGTGTGTATGTGTGTGTGTGTGTGTGTGTGTGTGTGTGTGTGTGTGTGTGTGTGTGTGTGTGTGTGTGTGTGTACAGCCTCCTCGTCCAAGGCTTTGAAATAATTTTTATCCTATCCTGATGATTCTTACAGTTCGCAATTTTTTTTCCATCTTTTCATATTCTTCTTTTGCTTTATTTTTTCTCAGTCGTTTATTTATCTTTTTTTTGTCAGTAATAAAAAAAAATCATTATTCTGTGATGTTTTTCTGTCGGCTTTTGATTTTATTCCCTTGATTTATAAAAAGACGAAGAAATTATTTAATACAGATAATTACCCAAACATGAAACAAACTGTTTTAATTAAGTAACAAAAGTAAAACAACATAAACAAGACCAAAAATCAGTGTAATGGTAAACACACACACACACACACACACACACACACACACACACACACACACACACACACACACACACACACACACACACAATACCAATAAACCACACTTATCTTTACCACCACCACAAGTGTTGGCAGAAGACACAGCTCCCCAACACAACACAACACTGGCAACACCTTAAACATACTGTACAGTGGGCTGGGTAAGAGGCTCCTGATATGTGGCTTTTAAAGACAAACATTACTCGACCTTTGACCCCGACCTTCAAAAATTAATCACTTTTGGTCATGAGATCCTGTGCACACAAGATTGAGACGGGCGAAGAGACTGACGGAAGGACGGACAGGTTGACGAGCGGAGAGGCTGACGAACTGACGGACAGATTGGCGGACGGACAGACTGACGAACGGGCGAACAGATTGACGGACGGACATGCTGACGGACGGAAAGGCTGACGGACGGATATGTTGGCGGACTGACAGGTTGATGGACGGACAGATTGACGGACGGACAGGCTGACGGACGGACAGATTGACGGACGGACAGGCTGACGGACGGACAGATTGGCAGACGGACAGGCTGACGGACGGACAGATTGACGGACGGACAGGCTGACAGACGGACAGATTGATGGACGGACAGGTTGACGGACGGACAGGCTGAAGGACGGACAGATTGACGGGTGGATAGGAACAAACCAATTATATCCCCAGTCTTTGGAAAGGACATGAAAAGCTAATATTTATTAAAGACAACGATGATGATAATGAAAACAACAGACTACCATGTCAACAAACACTCAACTACTCACAGAAACAACAATCCAACGATATTCAACTACTCACAAAACAGTCAACGCTATCCACACGAAGATGTTTTACCCACAAGAGGAAAACAAACAAACAAAGCAACATAAACAAACCATATTAGACACAAAACTAAACAAGAGAGTAAGCCAAACAAGGCCACGAGTGGTCGAGAAGGCAGGCGCGGAGTTGTCGTGCTAACTGTATCGGCATCACAAAGGCCCAGACTGACAAGTGTTACTGCAACGCCTCCACCAGCTGAGCCGCCACCCTCTGGGGACCCCGCCCACCACGGTGCTAACGGGGAACCGAGGATGGCATGAGGACTATGACCAGGAGGACAAAAACTGGGGGTACCAGGGTATGAAAGGGCGGGGCAGCTGATACCAATGCCAGAAGTGCCAAAGTTAGAGAAACAAGACCAACAGGACGAATACCAGAATGAGCCAAGTAACAGAAATGTGAAAAGTAGCGCAGCCCAAACTACCAGGAGCACCACAGCAGACCCAACCCATCAGGCACATCACAGAACCAGCCCACCAGGGGGCACCACAGCAGAACCAGCCCACCAGGGGCACCACAGCAGAACCAGCCCACCAAGGTCACCACAGCAGAACCAGCCCACCTGGGGCACCACAGCAGAACCAACCCACCAGGGGCACCACAGCAGAACTAGCCCACCAGGGGCACCACAGCAGAACCAGCCCATCAGGGGCACCACAGCAGAACCAACCCACCAGAGGCATTAGAGCAGAACCAGCCCACCAGGGGCACCACAGCAGAACCAGCCCACCAGGGCATCACAGCAGAACCATACCCAGGGGCACCACAGCAGAACCAGCCCACAAGGTCACCACAGCAGAACCAGCCCATCAGGGGCACCACAGCAGAACCAGCCCACCAAGGTCACCACATCAGAACCAGCCCACCAGGGGCACCACAGCAGAACCAGCCCACCAGGGCACCACAGCAGAACCAGCCCACCAGGAGCACCACAGCAGAACCAGCCCACCAAGGTCACCACAGCAGAACCAGCCCACCAGGGGCACCACAGCAAACCAGCCCACCAGGTTCACCACAGCAGCAACCAGCCCACCAAGGTCACCACAGCCAGCCCACCAAGGTCACCACATCAGAACCAGCCCACCAGGGCACCACAGCAGAACCAGCCCACCAGGTTCACCACAGCAGAACCAGCCCACCAGGAGCACCACAGCAGAACCAGCCTGGTCACTCACAGCAGAACCAGCCCATCAGGGGCACCACAGCAGAACCAGCCCACCAAGGTCACCATCAGAACCAGGGGCACCACAGCAGAACCAGGGGCACCACAGCAGAACCAGCCCACCAGGGCACCACAGCAGAACCAGCCCACCAAGGTCACCACAGCAGAACCAGCCCACCAGGGGCAACCAGAACCAGCCCACCAGGTTCACCAGCAACCAGCCCACCAAGGTCACCACAGCAGCCCAGCCCACCTGGGGCACCACAGCAGAACCAGCCCACCAGGGGCACCACAGCAGAACCAGCCCACCAGGTCACCACAGCAGAACCAGCCCACCTGGGGCACCACAGCAGAACCAACCCACCAGGGGCACCACAGCAGAACTAGCCCACCAGGGGCACCACAGCAGAACCAGCCCATCAGGGGCACCACAGCAGAACCAACCCACCAGAGGCATTAGAGCAGAACCAGCCCACCAGGGGCACCACAGCAGAACCAGCCCACCACGGGCATCAGAGCAGGACCAGCCCACCAGGAGGGAGTGCGCATTATACAGGCTACAAGAGCCGGAGTTTGGAGAACAACAAAACACGTGTGTCAGTGTATTAATTTTGTATCTGAGCATCCCGGATATTAGGCCACATAAACCAGAGGAACAGACAATATAAAATAAGGAAGAGAAAAAAGAAAGAGGAATAATAAATAATCACCAAACAAAATAAACAAGTCACAAAAGAAGTAAGGTGGTGGGGTAGGACAGGATAGAAAGATGACAAAAAAAGGAAGAACATAAGATAAAAGTAGACTATGGCCCAAAAAAAGATGTAAGAATAATAGAGGTTATGGGGTGAGGCGGCAGCTAGAAACAACAAGAGTGAGAGAGAAGTGAATAAAAAAAAAAGACAGGCAAGGCTTGTCATCCTCTACTGATAATTAGATCGTGATTCCCGCGCTGACAGGGCCATGAGCCACATGCTGGCGTCATCACCTATTTTGTCAGCTTGGTCAATGATTCCTTAAGTCTTGTTTGGGTTGTTGTGTTGGTGACTGAGGAGGCCAGACAGTTTAGGGCTGATTGTGTTGTTCCTTGTGGGAAGAGGAGAAGGATGGGGAGTAGTAATTAGTTATTGTGTATCGTGTGGTGTTTGTGTCACTGTTTATAACTAAATGATGTGATATGATGAACTTTTGGAGGGGGGTCGTTTATACGTTTATTTTACTCAGTTGCTGTCATACTAAATTATGGACGGAGAAAAGTGTTTAAAGTGAGGACCCCTACATTTTTTTTTTCTCTCATTAAAATTTTCTGTAACAGCGGCACCTCAATCGTTGTATTTTTTTTTTTCGGTATCACCCATGAAATCGGTTCCTTATTCCAATTTCCTCTTTATCAAATCCTCTACTCCCACTACTTCACTTCCTCCACCCTCCCCCTCCCCCCCCCATCATTCGTCTCTCCTCACCTCCGCTTATCTCATTCGTTCTCTTTGTGACAGTCTGACTCACTCCTAAGCTTTTCTGATCCCACTTTCTCTCACTCTTCACACATTTGTTTCTCGCCAACGCAACGCAATTAGGATCTCATTATGCCTCGCCATCCGCTAATCAACACACCACTTCTCGCCCACCACACCACTGGTCTCTGTGCCAGCGTCAGCAGACACAACTCCCATGTAGTCTCACATCTCCAGGATCCCCCTCAACTCCTTTAGGGGAATTGAGGACGTCTCTGCTCTGATGTTGTTCGAGGGCCCCACCAGACACTGCTGATGAGCCTAGCCGGTGCCCTTGTCAACACTAGACAGCTCAATTTTTTTTAATCTCATGTTGACGTAGGCGACTCATGATTTTTACTTTTCAGTTATTTCTCTTGTTATCCATCGTCGAGTATAGAGTCTCAAACACACTTGTAGCTCTTCACAGTCTTATGACGGCAAGTTTATCAACCAGACAAGCCTTTCAAACTTGACGAAACTGTCCATCAACATATTTTGCTTCAAGTTCACTTAATAAAATGTACCTTTGAAAAAGTGACCTAAGACATAAAAAGATTTGCCAAAAAGTTCACTTGAAGTCTTAGTAGCACAATTATGACAAAAATCCATTTTACAGTTACAACTGCCACTAAGATCTTAACAACCTAACTAAGACGTAGCAAGTCATGTTGCTCCAGCATGACGACCACATAAAGCTTAACAGGCGAGCGCTAGGAGGTGGAGTCGCCTCCCAGTCCTCGCTCCCTCCTAGTTAGGTGTCGAGCGTGGCTGCTGGCCTGTAACTTAAGCTTTATAATGACTTACAACACTTGTCAGGCTTAACGCCATAAGTTCACTGTTTTTCTCACGCATGATCGGGTGTCAGCTTAAAACAGTCTCAGTAGAGTGTCGACGGAGATGGAATTTATAGTGAGGTGTTTTGAAGTAGTGTAATTGGAATTCTTAATGGATTTTTTTTATGCACATAATCAATTACTTACGGAATGTTGATATTTTGATAATGAGTGATCTAGCGGCTGAGGCAAGCACTGTTATAAACGTACTATCAAGAAATGATCCAGTTTATGGTCGTAAACATGAACAGCCACCCGAGAACAGGTCCAGCTGAAGTCTAATGCACCCTACCAGTGTTTTCCCAGACGCAGCATCAGCCCGCTCCTTCCTTCCTCCTCCTCCTCCTCCTCTCTCCTCTGCAGGTCACCTTAATCGATTTTAATCCCGTGAAACTATTAAAGACAAGCGACAAGTGATCCGCTTCACGCGACGCCGGCGACACCTCACGTCGGTGGAAGCAAGAGGAGAAAACCCTGTACTCATCAAACACAATTCGCGACGATTAATTTTATGCCGTGACATCAGCTTGGAGTTGCCAAGCCTCGTCGGACAGCCCGCAGTAATTTCACCTAGTATAATTCAGTTACTCTTATAATGTACATCCATTTGGATAATAACCCTGGTGAACAAAAAGAGGACAATTGTTGTGACTATCTAGGTATTAAAAATCCACATGGAAAGTTGCCGGAAAAATAAAACCCGATCAGAGGCGTCAACGCGTCAACTTCGTCGGTGTTTATAAACAACACACGTTTTTACGAGCTACAGTTAAACGCCTGAATCCATGTACCAACTGACAGTGATCTAGGGCTCGTAGGACGCTACTCGAGACGTCTGGGAGGACCCGATACCACAAATAAAGGAGAATCGATCCCACAGCCTAGGAGGACTCGGTACTACGCCTGAAGGGATCCGATACCACACTCAGCTGAACCTGATTCAGCATTTTTCATGAATCCAATACTTGAAAGAGCCCGATACCTCACCCTGGAAACCCGATACTACATCCTGAAGAGACCCGATACCACACCCTAAGGGAGACCCTATAACACACTCCGGAATGGTGCTAATGCTGATTCTGGTACTGCGGGGTGTTGTTGTTGGTGGTGGTGGTGGTGCTGCTAGTTGTTGTTAGTGGTGGTAGTAGTTATTGTTGTTGTCGCTAGTTGTTGTTGTTGTTAGTAGTGGTGCTGGTGGTATGTTGTTATTATTTGTAGTGCAGATGGTAATTGATGTTGGCTAGAGTTGTTGTTGTTGGTGGTGGTGGTGGTGGTGACTGACACTGAGTTATGTCTGACACTTGATGTTATTGGGAAGTTATTTTAGATGATGAAATGCTAAAAGATATTCTGTCGATGTCGTGTTAGTACAGTAATTGAAAGTTCACAATAAATAACATTTGAGAGAAAGATGTCCTTTTAGCTTCATCAATGTTGTAAAATATTGAGAGTACCGGGGCAGGTGTGTACCAGGGCGGGTGTGTACCGGGGCAGGTATGTACCGGGGCGGGTGTGTACCGGGGCGGGTGTGTACCGGGGCGGGTGTGTACCGGGACAGGTTGACTCAGCGAGTGTCGCTACGTGTCTCTATCTCCTAATGTAGAGTTTCTCTGAATGAACCGGAAACGGACTCCGCACCCGACCCCAGCCCCTCGGGGCCGCCCCTTTCTAGGCTCCCATCACCAGTCCCCGGAGACTCCCTCTTGCACTGCCCCAGACACGGGCCCCAACACCAACCCCAGGGGACCCCCATCCCCCAGCTCTGCCCCAAATACAGGCCCCAACACCCCTGAAACCCTCCGTCCCCCAGCAACGCCCCAACACCAGCCCCCCCGGGGCCGCTCCTTGTCGCACCGTGTTGTCCCACAATGCCATAAAACCCCAACACTCTCCCTACACAACAATATGGACCAATCTTTCCCCACGGGCGCCCTCCCACACTACACCTGATCAGAAATTCCAGCGCCGAAGCTTATGATCCCCTTGATATCAATGGAAAACCATCACAGAGCTATTGTATGGGGGAGGACCAGGGTGGGGAGGATGTTGATAGTCTCCCGGGGAAGGAAAGGGAAGGAGAGAAGTGAGGGAGATGGAGAAGAGGGAGGTTGAGGGAAAGGGGTGGGAAAGAAGGTAGGGGAAAAAGGGCAAATGAGGAGAAAAGGAGGAGTTTGGCACATGTGGTGGGAAGGAAGGTGAGGGAAAGATACAGGGAGGAGATGGAGAGGATGTGGGGAGGTGAGGAGATGGTGGGGGAAATAGAATGTGAAGGGGGACGGTAGGGGGTGTAGACGAGGAGGGAAGATGAGGTGAGGTGGAGAGGAAGTAGGGGAGGTGGAGGAAGGAGAGGAGTCCGCGTGTACAAGTAATCATATAATGTAAAACTATATTGCATGATGAAGGTTCAGAGAGGGCGAGCCAGTACAGTACTTAGACACTGCCATTAACAAACATTCCTAAGTACCTCTCTCTCTCTCTCTCACACACGTTACATCATTCCAATCTTCTCTTCCTCTGTTCTTCTTTTACACGTCTATCTATCCTCTCGCTTTTTTGTATATCTCTTCTTCCTTTTCTTCAGCACCCCATTTCATCTCATCCACCTCTCTCCTCTTCTACTATCCCCTCTCTCCCTCTCTGCCCTTTCTTCCCCTCCTAGCACTGCTCAGTTCCAGGGGGAGCACCGCGACGTTGACAAATTACAGCGGGTTTAAGGGATCTCTGCCCCTCCCGGACCCTTCATCCTAGATCGGTCCCCTTCCTTGCGTTCTCTTCTCCTCTTCCTCTTTCTCCAGTTAATTCCCCCCTTCGCCTCTCCTCTTTATCCTCTATCTCTCTTTCTCTTACCGCCTTCCCTCCGTACGTAACGAAAATGTTATCTAATCTAGAGTTATTACCTATTCTCTACATGTTAAAGATGATTTCAAGTAAAGTTTTATCGGTGAACTAGAACACAACGTTGGTACATTTCTCTCTAAATCAAAAATTACCGGAGCACCATTACTCTGCCAGCGTTAGTAACTCCCAAAACTTTGAATTTATTTTACTTCCAAATCCTAGGTAGATTACGCTTGGGATCGTGTTCACCTCCCTCCCTCATCTCCTCCGTCCTTCATCTTTACCGTTCCTCCTCTTTCTTCTTCCTCTTACCCCCTCCTTCCCCCTCCTCCTCCTCCGTCATCCCCACAATCCCCCTCTACCCTGGTAGCATCTGGCGGGAATTACCGGGTAAATTCCAGCAAGATTTAGCGTTTAATGAGGCCCGTTTGTGAGATGGCCATTTTCCAGCGAGCCTCACGCCGCTAAAGCCACCAAACGTTAGCCCAGCGTGGCTCCCTC